AAAAAAAAAAAAAAAAAAAAATATACCGACGAATTGAATACCTCCTTCTTTTGGGAAGTCGGTCAAAATAGTTAAAAAGGAACGCAACATATGTTACTTCAGATGCTTTCGTGCCAATCTGATAGTTAAACTTAGTCCTAACTTTCTGGCTTCACCGACGATTTTGGCGAAGGCGTTTTCCCAGGCGTACATCTTGATGGACTCGATGCTCTGTATCACTTCGTTCATCAGCCGGATGCGGTGGTCTGTGAGCACAGTCGTCTTGAGCCGCAGATTGCTTGAGATTGTTCCGAGGTAGCCTAAAAATTGTACAAAATTATTCATTTAAAACTAAGAATTTTTTCTCACATAAATTATTGATAGCGTTGTAGATACGTTTCTGAGCAGCAACACCAAGATCAGAGTAAGGAAATTAGCTCAGAAACATGCATTATCTAGCTGCACCTATATCTTTAGCCATTTAATTTTATCGACGTTCTCGAGTAATGTACCTTGTAGTGGTATGAAGAGAAGCAGAAAGGCAACACCGAATAGCGTAGAGACTCCAATCTGCCGGTACATGAGATAGACAATGAAAGCGCTCTCTATGGGCGTGCGGAACAAGTCGACGAGGAAGAGGATGGCCATGTCGAAGCGCTGTGCGTCCGTCGTCAGCAAGTTGATGACGTGGCCCGCCAGACCTTCCGACGCCTGCCCACCCACTGATAAGTCTAGTCTAAGCAGCTGAAAACAAAACCAATTTCATACATAGACAATTATAGAAGCAGTTATTCAGTTAATGATCGTTCGAGTCGGATATCAATTATTATGTTGATGATATATTTAATTTTATGATTACGTGGACTGCACGTCACGTGGAACACGACTGGACGTCAATTCAAAAGGTTTCCCTTGATTTAATGGGCATAGAAATACCATTGAGGAGAAAAGTTTTCTCTGTCAGTCTGTTTTGTGCGTGTCTTCCGTTCTAGTTATTGTTAATCTACTGAACATGGAAACACTACAACAAGTACTTTACCTTTCTATAAATTAGCGATGAACATGCCACTCTCAACTTCATACTCATCGCTAACATCCATACGAATACTGGATGCATTATAATTGCGTTCACTAGCTGCAACCTGAAATGTATACTTTTGATAAAAATCCAAATATTACTGCCCAAACATCAACAAAGTACATTTACATTATAACTCGATAGATTTTTTTTCTATACACACATAATTGTAACAAAAACTTAAATTAGATAATATTATCCTCCAATTACGTACCCCACTACTCCAAATGCGTAGAGATAGGCCTGGGATTCCGATATGCCGGAGTCCGGGGAGGAGAAGTATTTGATCATGCCCTCCAAACACATCGGTATAGACAATCTAAATATAATAGCCATTTATGTACAAAAATGCCAAGATAATTAAACATAACAAAATTAACATTCGTTAATAAACTATAAATAATATTCACATTATAAGTAATTTTCATATCTATCCACTAGGCGGGGTACGAGTTGCCCCCAGCCCACCCGATGGTGGTATTCACTTGAAGTTTTATGGACCGCGTGCGCATTTACTTCTACCTTGTATAAAGAAATGGAGAAATAAAGAACTCTAAAGCTCGATACACTTACCTTATGGTACTTTCAACTAAAGAAAATATTAAATTTCCGACAATAAACTTGAGGCCGTAGACTGATATTATAGCTTTCAACAAGGACGCCTTGCCGCCATTATCTAGAAAAAAAAACGTTTAAATTGGATACAATGATGATGTAGTTAATTGTCGTAGTTCTATATTAAATGTTAAAACCGTGATTTATTTAGTTTATTTTCATCGTAACGAAGCGGTAGTTACAAAAATTAGAGAATTCCAAATAAGTTTTTGGTTTTGCATTGCTGTGAGCCGTACGTGGAAATTAGTGGCCGGCGATATTTTCTGCACATTTTGTTAGCCCGAAGTCAATAGGTAAATAGTAACCTCGTTTTGTCAACTCGTAGTTCCAACTAGCACCGAGCGTGTCGCCCCGCAGCGACGCCCTGTGCCCCGGCGTGCATCTGCTCGTTACCAAAAAAATATATAATAGCACTCTCAACTAGCACATAGACAATATTATATTAAAAACAAAATTGAATTGTAATTAGTAGCTCTTACCTGTACAGATCAGAAATAGTTAGTTCTCCTTTATGTCCTTTTACGAATATGCCACGCGTGTACCTAGAGAACGAAGCTTTACATTACTTTTGGTTCATTCTTACAAACACTAGTATTTTGACGATTTTATACGATTTACTTGGATCAGTTTAAAAAAAAAATCTTACCAAAAACATAACTTCGATAACACATTGGCCCTTTCTCTAGGATTCTGTTGTCGAGGAGTGTCGTAGTGGCCGGGGTCCATGGTGGCGTCACTGGGTGGTATTAATGCCAATCTGTATATGATCACCTTGCACTAAACGGCATTCTTTTTTATGTTACACCTGGAACAGATAAACTTAATATAATAATTGATTTCTGTTCGCGGGTCTATTTCGAGTAAAATTCGGTAAACGAGTATTTCTTGGTGAGAAGAGCCGTGTTTGTTATCAACCGTAAATTTCGTATATTTTCAACATACGCAATAGCTTTGGTGACCCTTTCTTTGAGCTACGCGTTTATTAGACAAAACTCAGAGAAGCACAATGTCTTATTAAGCCTGCCGCCTGGAATTTGTTTGTGGTGTTTTTCTTCGTTTTCCTTCAACGGTCATGCTAAAATTATAAGACTAGGTCATGGGAGGTGAAAAAACGGCATTAATTTAAACGCTAGTTACAAGTGACTGTACCGATTCTTCTTGCGATATTGATCGTTGTTTTTATCGACACTCTGTGTCGATAGGCGGTCGATCCGGTCCGTGTATGTCGGTTTTATAAATTTCCTTAATTCGTTTAACTGTTATCAGGAAAAACAGGAAACAGTTAGAAAACAAAAATGTAAATTAATCTCGTTGATAAAAGTGATTCATTTTACCATCTGAGACTCTTATCTACATATATTTCAGGGTGAATCTTTATTAAATCGATAACTGTGTAGATAATGAAAACAGCAAATGAAATAAAACATCATTATCTGCTCACTATATGCCCTCAGCGAGAGCCCTAAGTTATCGGTGACCGCGCTATAGTCAACCTCGCTGCCCTACCGAGGGATGACTTCACATACCTACATAGTTAAATCTTGCAATTACTTTGCTCATATATACAGGTTGCATCAAAATGTTTTCCTTCGCAACAAGAATTTCAGATAAATGTACATATGAATTTCGAAAACCACAATGATAAATGGCGGGATTTGAACCCAAAAGCTGCAGATTACAAGTCAAGTGTTCCTGAACCACCGTCCCATCACTATCTCAATAAAACATGCGGGGGATAATAAATTAAAGACGATACTGAACGTCATACTTAAAGTTTAGTATCGTTATACTTTGAGATTTCTAGTTACAGAAGCTATTAACAATCAGACTTATAGATATACCGAGAGAATAACTTTTTACTAATATTTAAATGTATGTATGTTATGTGTGAACGTAATTAAAGTGCTAACGTACACAAACATCCTTTATTGTAAATTTAGTGTGATATACATCGTAGTAATAGGACAAAAAAGCTATTTGTATTTATTCACTTACATTGTGAGAGAGAGCGTGGCATGCGTGGGAAATTCTTGAATAACCTAATTCCGCTACTTTAATTTATCACAATACAACGAGATATCTGAAATATTTTTATAACTTTAATATCTCTAGGAGTGATGAAGATTCACAATGTTAATTTCTTGTCTAAAAATGGCGTTCACGACTGAACGCAGCAAAAAACTACCACAGACTGAATGGCGAACATTAAGTGACCTTCCTCGATCAGCGAACAGTCATAGCCACAGGCTTTATCGAAAAAAAACCCATCTTGTCAGCTGTAACAGCTGTGGTGTGGATGATAGTGAATGTATTTGTATGCTGTATTTCTAATACGTTTCTGTCCAGATTATTTAATATTATGAAATGTACCAGTGTTTTGTTTTAGAACTTGACTTTAATTTAATTCAGATACATCATCTGAGTTTCACATAATTAATTAATCGAGGTCCTCTTTCCGAGGCTTCATGTTCAAAGAGCCTGACGATTTTATCTCTTAATAAAATAATAACTAGAAATAATAATTAGAAGAGGCTTTCGAGAAATTACTCGAGCTTATGACAGTAAGAATTATCAACATTATGAACAAAGCAACTTCAAATCAATTCTTGGTTATTCCAAAAGTGTCAAACATTGCAGCTACTATATGTTTTAACAATTATTGTTCATAGAGCAAATAGTTCATGAACGAAAAGCGGAGAACCTTGAGATGTCGTCGGCACGGACGGACCTTTCGTTTCCTCAAAGGCCGGCAACGCATCTGTAGTTCCTCTGGTGTAGCGGATGTCCATGGGCATCATTGATCACCTCGGTGTTCTCGCTGCTTGTTTGCCCCCTTTTATTAGAAAAAAGAACCACAAGTAAAGTAAATAAGTACCTACAGGTGTCTTTATCACAAAATCATTTGGGCGAGGGATTTAAAGTTGAACATCTTACTAATCAGGGTGCGTATGTTTCTGTAATTCCCGTGTTTCTTTTTGTTAAAGAGATGGTACATTGGAACAGCGATTAGTCTTGTTAAACACAGTTAATCATATTATCTCTATATTATTGTCCTTGATCCTCTTAATTCAACGGTTGTCATTAATCTTGATGGTTCTTAGAAATGAATTAACTGCGTGTTTCTTAAGAATTACGAACGCTTAAAATAACACGAAAACATAGAATTGGAATAAACTGAGAAAATTTTAAATTAAAACAAGGAAATATAGAGATAGACGGATTGCGTTAAAGGTGACATGATTAAGAAGGTAGTGATGACTGAGATGACGGATGATAGAGTTATGTGGAGGACAAAAACCTGTTGCGCCGACCCTACGGGAGTAGGATAAGGAATATGATGATGATGATAACATTAATAAATACATATAGACCAGGAGGGTTTCCTGTCTTCCGTACTAAATTCTGGGGCTCTGATGTTTCCTTTATTGCGTTGCGATTCAAATTCAAAGACTATTGTTTCACTAAGCCGCGACCGCTTAGGCTTATATGATAGAGATGGCTGTTGCGGGAGGATTTATTTAGTGTAAAAAGGATTATGAATGACCACACTACAAAGCATTTTTATTGGAACTTTTTATGAACACGAATAACAGAGCTAGATAGATAAGTTAGAAATGATTTATACTGTTTTATAACATAAGGTGGCAAACGAGCAAGCGACCACCCGATACCGCCAAAATGGTGAAGCGACCGCTGCCCATAGACATCCGCAATTGCAGATGCGTTGCCTACCCTTATACGACGGAGGAGGAGACGCACATAAAGAGGATATTTCCCCTTCCTACGCATCTCCTCTACCGTCAAATCCATTTCCTCTTCCCAACCTCTCCTTATAAGAAAAGGGTGGTAAAGAGAAAGGGACTTAAATTAGGCCTCCGGCACCACACTCATTAGACGAAACACGGAATTGCTCCCATTTCACGCCTGTCTTCTGTGTGTTTGTGGTATTACACCGGGCGTGCCGGCCCTTCAGTGCTAAGATGTTAAAGCGGGCACTACCACTGTTACTGTTGACTATGTGTGCAATTACACGCAGTACAGTTTTCTACTATTCAAACCTTAAGCGGCAAACAGCTAACTTTTGCGTAATAATTGTAAGTGAACGTGGGACCTTGTAAGCTATGGCGGTGATTACATGACATCAAAGTATGTTCCATCCTCGGCAATCCTTACCAAGAATAAGTAATAGTAACTACGTAACTTCATTGTTAATTACTGAGATTGACTAAGATTCAATCACTGTACGAGTGTGTACATCTATAGAATCATATTTTGTTGGCAATCCTTTATAACCGAAAAAAACTTTATAATTACTTTGAGGCGTAATTTATAGGTGACATACTTGTATTAAATAATACATAAATATTAAACAAAGTAGGTATATTGTTAGCCGTCTATAAAACTAGTTGGAGGCGTCACCAGGTGATGTAAAGGCTGCTCTCCCTCTTGAAAAGTAGATATAAAAAACACTTCGAATTAGACTATGTTAAAGGTAGTCTCCCCTTCCCCTCTAGAGAGAGAAAGAAGAGAAACTGAAAGAAATCTTATACTTACCGATAATGTAAATAATGGGCGTATATAAGTCTACCTTCGCGGAAGTCGTAGTGAGTCACTCATTCATGTGAAGCGCTGTCGCCGCTTATCTTGTTTGTTGACTACATGTACTGATACGAGTCTATTAGATTATCAAACAATATCATTTTCATACATTGTCTTGTCTATTATCAAATTGCACAACGATTTCGCCATTACTTTAAACCAAAGAATATGCCAACATTTTATTCGAGCCAAATATGCCTTCCATTATGGTAAAACTATACTACTGATAGAATGGGTGCAAACGCCTGCCACTTTTTGAGGAGCAACGAATATTTGGAATACCGTCTTCGATTATGAATTCTATTAATCCACTTTTAAGTTAATTCTTCCTGTCATTCCAAAGTTGTAACCAGCTGAAGTACACGCATTCCCAACTCTCAAAATCTGTTACATTTTATCACTTATATGCCATGATATTTATAAATTTCTGTTATTACATCTTGTACACACAGACATATTTATTGTTCAACAGGGATTGCATTGCTACTGAGATAATTTAAAAACCTTGGAGAAAACATGTAGGTCTGACAACATAATGGAGTGTATTGTGAGAATTTTATGAAATATGGCTGTTGTTAGCGACTTCGTCCGTGTGAAATTAAAAAATAGCCTATGTTACTCACAGATAAATTATCTTTCTAATGTGAAAGAATTTTTAAAATCGGCCCAGTTGTTTATCGAGTTTATGTGCACGGCTACGTGAAACTACATAAATTAAAAAAATCAGAAGTTAACAAATGTAAATTTTTATACCTTGAGGTGGAAAACGAGCAAGTGCAAGAGCAAGCACTTGAATCCGCCAAAATGGCGTAGCGACCGCTGCCCATAAACTTCCGCAATTGCAAACGCATTGCCTAACCTTCGTCGGAGAAGATGCATATAAAGAGATTTTCTCTCCGTCTCATGCTTCTCCTACACCGTCTAATCCACTTTCCTTATAAGAAAAGTGTGTAAGGGAAAGGGAAAATTAGACCTTCAGCACCACACTCATCAGTCGAAATGTGGAATTGCTCCCACTTCACGCCCGTCGTCCGTCTGGTCGTGGTATTGCTGGGGGCCAGCCGATCAAATTCGTGCTAAGATGTTAAAGCGGGCTCTACCACTTTAACGGCCTTTCCCACCAAATGTAAATTATCTGATAGCAATCTAACGTGTAAAATATCTGATTTTTTTCCTTATCTGACAGTGACGTCATTTTTAAGCATTCTGAGCCTCTGTCACCTAGTGGTGGGACAAGCCCTTAAAGTCGGGGCCCCAGAAATTTCGTTGATCGCCTTTGCCATTTATAATGAATCAGTTCGGGAAATTTATTTTCTCAATATTTATACTAAGAGTTGAATTTGGTAAGGAAGGTGAATATTGCTTAAAAAAAATAAAACAATCTCTCAAAATGGTAAAATTTTATTTCCCCAACTTTATATATTATGTTTCTATAAAAGCACAAACGTACAACAAAAAAAATGATTACTAATCAACATTATTCCATAAAAAATATAAATGCAAACGCATAAACATTACATTTGAATAATCATTTATACATTCAAGTTATCACAGATGTTTGCAATTTTTTTATTTACAACGCGGAACTTCAATATTTCAATATCAAAATTATTCAAATGGAAATGAACATAATTATAATTATATGTAGTGGTTGTGTCTATCACGTGACTGTAACAGTGTGTGTGATGTTTGTATTGTACTTATTACTATTTTAGTATAGGAAACGTTAGAGAGTAAGAATATGTACAAAGTTCCGCGGTGACATAACAAATAAAAATATAAGCATTAAATCCTTTACCCAACCTCACCCATCTGCACAGTTTTATCAATAATTTATGAACTAATACACCTACTATGATTTATAACCACAACCTATAGTTTAAGTCGAACCAAGGGCGACGCTGGGCAGGGGGCGACGTTCCCAAAGAGACACATTTTACTAATATTGTAAATGTGTATATCATCATCATCAGCTCACTATACGTCCCCACCGAGGGGCTCGGAGCCTACCCTAAAGTTAGGGTGACTACGCCATAGTCAACCACGCTGGCCAAGTGCGGGTTGGTTGACTTCACACATATCTTTGAATTTCTTCGCTGATATGTGCAGGTTGCATCACGATGTTTTCCTTCACCGTAAGAACGTCGGGTAAATTATGTACATATGAAAATTCGAAAAATTGAAAATCACATTGGTACATGGCGGCAGGATTCGAACCCAAGACCTGTAGATTACAAGTCAAGTGCTTAAACCACTGAGCCACCGACGCTCTTATGTGTATATGTGTATTGTAAATTTTAATTAATTCGTAATACTAAGGTTCCTACAATTTCTAAAAAATCGTGTACATAACTCAAATATGACATTTTAAATTTTCTTTAAAGCATACTCTTTGGAATAAAATTAACGTTTATTTAGCCCTGTACTGTATGGCATTACAGTTGTCTACTGTCTTGGCGTCATGCCAGCTGGGCAGTCCAGTCACCGACGGGAGTGGACGTAACAAGCGTTCAATGCAAGCCCCCTTATATTATCGACTAGCGTTGCCCGTGGTCAAAAGTACACTAATAAAATAGCACTTAGCTACGAATGAATCATTCCTTTATGGGTGAAGATAACGTTTTTTGGTAATTTACCTAATACAGAGGAAACAAATGATAAGTGTAAAATATTACATGAAGGAGGTGATTTCTAAAAGAACCCCAGCATTCATTATGAATCATACTAATTGTCATGAGATTTTGTGGCTGTACGGTAGCGAATTACAAACATGTTAACAATAAATAAATATATAAAAAGTACCTACTCCATCCCACTGCTATAAAATTATATGAACATTGTATCCAAACATTCATTTATAGCTTAGACCTTTCACCCATAAGTTTGTCCCAAACGCAATATCTTTCCCAATTGGGGTTAAAAACCAACTTGATATCGTCATCAACATGTAGCGTGTATTTATTCCTCACGTCGTATGGTAACCACTCCACGGGTTGGTTCTTCCACGTTGGTTTGCTAAAAATCCAACACAATTACAAAACATAAAATATTACTCTAATAACTAAAATTGAATTCAAACCTCTTACCCGTTTTTAGCGAAATTACACCAAGCTTCGCTGAGGAAATCGACAATTTTTTTATCTTTCTCGGTACATTTGTCAGCCTTGGTCTTCCTATAGAATAAGTACTGTATGAGGTCGCCGTGCGTCGCGCCCGCGCACCCCAGCCGCCTCATGAGACTAGTGTTCATGTTGCCCGAGTACGAGAAATAACAAAGATAATTATCCTTTATATACTTAGACATGTGTTCTACGAACATGACGGTGTCTCTGCCGAAGTACGCGTCCGACACCAGATCTAAGTACTCATCTTTAGTCATTTCTTTACCCTTAAAGTAGAAATCGTTTAAGCCTTTAGCAAACTTCACGGCTCTCGGCGTATCGTATTGTATGCCCGTAAAACGTGGAATGAAGTGTTGAAGATTGTTCTGAAATTCAATTTTACCTTCCTCGTTTCTCGGCAAGAACAGCGCACCTTCGTGCGAGTTTATTGTGGTAAGAATCGGCATTCGGTTTATACGACCCCCACGGATCGAAACTATCGGATACTCCTCGATGAATCGTTCTATTCCTTCAAATTGTTTCTCAACGACCGGTAACAAATTAGCGTTGATAACATACGAGGGGCGATCCACTTCAGCGGTAATCATAGCAAATATTAGATCCTCGACGGAAGCGTTCATTAAAAAATCATACAAACTCCTCGTGTCGGCCAGCTCCTGTCCTAATAACTTAGCTATGTGCCGGGCCTTCTGAACCGGGTCGGCCTCCACCATCACCAGGTCCGACAGCAAGTTGCCCGACTGCGAAATGATCTTGTGACACAAACCCCTCGTCATTTTAGAAGTTAAATAGAAGGTAACTACTCCCGATCCCGCGCTTTCGCCGCACGCTGTTATATTGTTCTCATCTCCATTGAAGCGTTTTATATTATTTTTCACCCATTTTAAAGCCATCGCGCTATCTTTCAAGCCTGCGTTACCGGGCACTTCGGGCGTGTGTAAACATAAGAAACCGAATATATTTAACCTGTAATTAATGGTTACAAGGATGACGTCATGTTGTAGTATATAGTCGGGTTGGTAATAATCTCCGTAGCCGACAAGGAACCTCCCGCCGTGAACAAAAAATATAACTGGAAGTTTGTCTAGTTTCTCCGCCGGCAAACATGGCGTGTAGACATTTAAGTAAAGGCAATCTTCGGAGCCTATCAATGATTTTGGGGAATAAGGATTGATTTGAGCGCAGTTGTTGCCGGGTTTGGTGGCGTCTCGCACACCGGTCCATTTTTCCGGTTCCTGTGGGCACTAGAATAACAAAACATAGTATAGCTTTCATTCTAAATCTACACTGAAATATTAACTAGCAAAAATAACACTTTTTCATTTCATTGCATTCTGTGAAATCTAGGTAGAAACCAATTCAACACAATCTACATCGTTTCCCACATAAGTAAAATACAGTATTGCTGCATATACATACAGAGTCGACAGGAAGGAATTAAATAAATAGTAAAAGCAGTTTTATTTGTAATAAGTGACACTTACCCTAAAACGCAGTTTTCCGACAGGAGGTTTAGCGTATGGTATTCCTTCGAAACTGTAGTACCTTTTTCCATAATATGTGGTACAAACCTTGCCTTCCAATGTCCCTTGCTCGACTGTCACTTGACAATTCATATTTCCTACCAGGATAAAGTAAGTGATATAAGTTTTACAACAAAATGCAAAATGATTAACATACAATGCATCAACAGAGTTTAATTGTTAAATGTAATGTAAGCAATATTCACAGTAACGCATGAAATATCTTAAACATTTGATCTTATCCATATTGTATTGTTCATCAGTATTACAGCAAAAACAACATATATGCAATTAAAGTGAAGATATCACGGCTTTTTGTCTTGAAATTCCAATTTTTTTATTATATTACTTGTTATGGTTTAAATTTCAAACTTCTTACTCTAACAGTTAAGAATCTCTTGGGATTTTTAATTGTACAATTGAACAATTGAATTAAATGAAACAAGTTTTACTTGATTATTTCAGAACACAGGTCAAATGATAGGCCAGAAAATAAAATTAAACTTTAAAATATCTGCCTCATTTTTGTTTGTTACATTGCAGCACTATTTTGCTTGATTCAACTTTTCTTGTGATATTCTACTGCTAGTGCGGGAGAACATAGTCTGCCTTTTTGTGTCTAATATATATATTTCCATGATATAATATTTTACATAATAAATATCTTACAAATGTAATGTTCAGCTGCTAGTAATTTTTTTTAAGAGTTTATTCAAAAGTTATCAATATTTACAAAGAATTATTGAGGAATAAATTGCAATGTGATACTTTAATTGCATTGCATTATTTATCATCAACTTATCATAAGTACAAAGATCAAATAAGACAACACATTGAGTAAAAATAACTGTGATATGAGTGAAGTTATTTAATTCTTTCTTCTTCTTTTACCAGATTTTGTATAATGGGAAGTTTAAAATGAATATTCCAAATGGTGTTTTCTATGTTGTTATATTTAAATTATACCTGAAATACAATACACCAAAATCTTCGAAAACTCAGTTAATTACATGGAAAAATATATACAAAAGCCAACTTTAAGTAAATCTATAAATTATGTTTAATAACTACAAAGCGTTCACTGGCCACTGACACGAAATAAAACTTTTGCAAGACTGGGTTTAAAAATGATGAATGCAATTCGTATGTACTTTATGCAAATAAATTCACTCTGAAATCTTTTGTTGACTTTTTGTTGGCAATTGCCAAGTACAAAAGTCAATTGTCTTTGACTTGGTCTGTCAAATGTCAAAATCAAAAGTTTTGCAAATTGGCAAATTAGCCAAAGGGAAAAGTTGGGTGGTCAGTGGTGGTCGCTTTTGATTCCTTATTCCAAGTTGGAAATGTAATCTATACTAATATTATAATCTAATATAAAATTGAAAATGAAAATGTAATTGACGCATTGCAAAAATGGTGTAATAATGTTATGGGAAACAAAACGTTTGGAAGTGTTCTAAATTAAAAAATGTTGCTAAATTACAAAATAAGCTGAAATGCCAAAAGCGATTATACTTAATAACGTTCGTGTGTTTATCTGTAATCTTTATACTCTTTGATTTGTTTTCGAGTGATATCCGCCGCCATGGCGCCACCGCCATTGCTGTTGCGACATATGTAGCGTGACAAGTCATGTCAATTTTGTTCATGATATATGAAAAACTCCAATGGCAGATTCTTTTTTCGGGTTCGATACTTCGTTTCAGGTGAGTTATTACAGTTTTCTGTGTGTTTAGCTGATTACTTTGATATATAGTGTCCTTTTATACTTCGTCCAACACCTTGGTGCCAACATGCAAAGTATCACGTTTTACCTATTTTTGTTATTTTTTTGTGCATTCGGAAGCTTCTGAGATTGTTTGTAACTTTATAAATGGTCTTTAATACATTTATAAAGCAATTGGCATTGAATTTATGTATGCTTATAGTTTACGGAGTCCTATGTGAAGTCATAATGCTTGTTTATGTCTCGACTAGTTTCCATAGTTAGTGGTACACTTTCGAAGCTCAACTCCGCGAATCGAACTTTTTGCATCATTCCAAGTGTACAATAAAACTCAAACAACAAATTATTTACAAAACATGACTCAATATTTCATTACATGTGTACAAACTTCAGTGAACTGTAAGATGTTGGTGTCATTTGGAGTATATGCTTCCATATGGCTATAAATATCGGTTGTACAGTAATCAATTGATAAACTGGGTTATAATTGTATTTCTTAGGCACAATAAAATTATATGAATAGTATTAAAGAGAATATGTTGGCCTCATTTAATTTTATATTCCACTTTTCAGTTTCTTATTTCATTATAAGAATAGTAATCCATTTTATGTTCCTGAAATATTAATGTCAAGAATCCCGATTTTTTTAACAATATACATTTTTTGCTTACTTAAAATATTTTAGAAGTGTATAGTATAGCTTTACTGAATATCTAGTTGTGGTTTTACTTCTTTTTCTTCTACATCAAAATCAAACATTAGTTAGTCCTATAAGAATAAACCATGGTTGTGTTGTCCAGGTAAAGTTAATAATAAGTGTGTCTATATCTGCTTGTGTTACAATGTATGTGTTTGTGATAACTTTAATCCTTAGTTCAGTTGTTTACAATATACCAGTACTTATAATTATAGCTATAAATATATGTTACATGTCACTGAATAACTTGCTCTTATAAGTCACTCTTGCTAAGAAATAAACACTACATAAACTTCAAGTTAAACAGTGGTAGTGCCCGCTTTAACATCTTAGCACGAATGGGCCGGCACGCCCGGTGTAATACCACGACCACACAGAAGCCAGGCGTGAAATGGAAGCAATTCCGTGTTTCGTCTGATGAGTGTGGTGCCGGAGGCCTAATTTAAGTCCCTTTCTCTTTACCACCCTTTTCTTTTAAGGAGAGGTTGGGAAGAGGAAGTGTATTTGACGGTGGAGGAGTTGGGTATACACAGTTTTAAAAGAAATTTGGTAATGTGAAATTTATTTACAGAATGTAAAATTTTTTTACAGAACCTAAATGACGACGAAGGTGGCGGTGAGCCTTCGGAGGATGAGTATGATGCACTCAACGATGAGACGTTTGGACAGGATTGTAAGTATTTTCACTCAGTTACCATACTCTCTTATAATGTCATGATTCATAATGTAAATCTGTGTTCATAATAAAAATACTAGCTGTGCACCCC